ACTTCTCTCTCTCAGTGTACGTACTTTTAGCTTACTGGGAGAAAACGTACGTACTTTTAGCTCAGTGGGAGAAAAAGGGGAGAAGAGGAATGGGGGAAAAGAGAAAGGGTCCGGTTTAAGAGAGGGGGTTGTGTTCTCTATCTAGGCCCCTAAGGGCCCTCGCGCGGCGTGAGAGCTCGGAAGCGAGCTTTGCACGGCGATCGAGGATGGCGCGGTTCACCCCCTTCACCGAAGCGATGGAGATGCGTTCCGCGTGGTGTGACACAAATGAATGAGAGGCGGGAGTGGGGAGGGTACGCGGTGCGGTCAACGCCCGAGCGTTGAGCCTTGCGCGCAAGGCGGTTGATCTTTGCAACTGCTGGCGTGATAAGCCACCGCCGAATGTCTCGTGAAGAAGCAGGTTGAACTTGTTTCGTTTGCCGAAGATCCCGTCATGGTAGTGGCCACGCTGTGACTTGACGTAGCCTTGGGCGGTGGTGTGGTCGAACGCCCGTTGACCACGGAACCCGCGTTGCTTGCAGCCCATGTTGCAAGGCGGGCGCGCTCTTCGGTGTTGCCGCGAACTTGTCTCTCTCACTCTCTCAGTGCATGTAGCTCTTACGTACATTCCCGTTAGGAGGACTGCTGACAGGGTTATGAGGAGCGACCCGATTCTTACTCGAACATATGTTTGTACGAACCCGAAGTTTTTGCAGTTTGTTTGGCATCACGCGAGACAGACTCTCTCCCTGGCGCCTCCCGCTCCCCCGCACATAAATGCGTACGGACGGAGCGCTGGCACGGCACGGTCGGAGCGTCGGACACATAACCACCACGGCAGCCTCGGGGGAGCCACACCTAAAGGCTAGAGCGACTCCTAGAAGAGATGGGAGTCGAGAGTTCGAGCGAGAGCGGTATACGTGTAGCGACGCCGAGACGCGAGAGCGCGCGGCGATCTCGCGAGGGCCCCGGGTAATACCCGAAAATACCTGGAAACCCCCGGGTATTTTCGGGTATTACCCGGGTTTTCTGGCATTTTCTGCTTGCTGACCACTGAACAAGAGTAACAACAGTAACAAACAGTAACAGCTTGGGCTGGGGAGAACACTTGAACAACGTTGAGGATTTCAGCTAACAATAGTGTGCAACTGTTACGGGGTGCGGACCCTGAGTTGAACAGGGGTTGTGCGCCAAGCCCTCCTGCTCGGCTCCAGCGAGTAGACAAGTGTTACCATCAACAGAGGAGAAGGATATGACCTCAGGGCTGATGTGACCAAGCGCTGGTAGCGTGGTTTTACCTCACACCCATGGTCTCACAGTGTGCCGGCAGTCGCCGAGCAGTGTCGCTCACACAAGCCGCAGCACGAGTGACTGAGGGCCAGTGAGGGCGAGCCCATCGCTGTCACAGCTGTGGCAGCCGCACAGTAGGCTGTGCCAACTGTGCAGAGCGTATGAGCAGCAGAGGAGCTGCTCTCCAGGCTTCAGGCGCAAAGAGCTGCATGCCACCGAAAGCGCTGTCGAGGTTCGCCGAGCGCGGCGAAATCGGGGGACGCCGTCACCGACGAGCGCGTTGGAGTATTCACTCCGGACAAAGACGGCCACACGCACACGAGCTGCGGTCGTGTGGCCGTCATAGCGGCGAGGCGCGGGACCGTCTGTGGCGAAGTGGGTCGCGTCCCCCGATTTCCTCAACTCAGGGTCCGCTCCCTCTAGGCCCAAAAAGTTAACGTGTTTGACACAGCTTTTCGAGGGGCCGAGAAGCCCGCGAAAACGAGACACAACCCGAAAAGAGATTTCGCGCCCCCAACCCGCGTCGCTCTGCCTCTGTGGCTGCCGCCCGTAGCGCGTAGGCGCTATCACATGGTACACCGATAACGTACTCGCCTCTCTCCCTCGCCTCCGTACTCGGGGAGATCAGCGTGACCGTGAGCGTGGAGAGCCGCGCGTCGTCCTATCAAACCTCATCTCGCGGGCCCTACGCCGCGCCGCCCGAGGCGTCGTCGACGCTGCTCTCTCCGCCCAGCCTCTGTCAAACCTCATCTTTGAGGTTTGGCCATACCCTACCCGCCCCGAATCGCATGCCTGTACACCGGCCGGCGCCCCGCCAGGAGCGCCAGCGAGAAGAAGAGAAGAGGGAGCCGCGCGCGCGCCGTCCGCTGCGGCCCCTCGGGAGCGGCTCCCGGGGCAGCCCGGGAGCGGGCGCCTTGGCGCAGTCGGCCTCTACAGGCGCGGGTCGAGGGGCGCGGGCGCGGTGTCCGGCGTCGACTCGTGGGCGCAGTCCGGAAAGACCTTCTTGATGGTGATGCCCTTTGCCAGCGCCTCGAGCGCGTCGCCAGCCTTGGGGCGGACGTCGCGGTCGAAGATCGCGAGTGGGATCGCCAGCGTGGCGACGGCGTTCGGCACGTCGACGATGCCGGAGATGCGCCCCTCGCACGGGCAGCAGGAGAGGAGGAGGTAGATCTGCTCCTCGGTGTAGCCAAAGTTGGCGAGGTACTTGATGCAGTTGAGGACGGCGCGCTTGTACGCGAGCGTCGCGTCGAGGAAGTGCTGCACGCCTGAGTACTCGTAATTCGTTGGCCGTGAGAGAGGCACCAGCTGGAGGCGGCGGCGGAGAGCCGCGCGCCGTTCTCGTCGACCGAGACGCCCTCGAAGACGAGGTACTCCGAGTAGCGGGGCTCCATGGGGCCGATCTCAAAGATCGGGTTGACGCTGAGCGGCGACGGGCCGACGACGGGCAGCAGCTTCATCCCGCCCTTGATGACGGTGAGCTTGAGGTCAAGGAAGCCTGTTCACAGCTGGCGGCGTGAAGAGACGCCGTGCACAGACGTGGCTGTGCAGTCAGCTCGAGGTCGACGGCGCCGCTCATCTCGATGGCGCCGCAGAAGGACACCTCGCCGTCGCCCTGCGAGAAGTGCATGTCTCCCATCGAGAGGTTAGCGCCGGGCACAAACACGGGGAGGTAGAGGGAGCACCCGCGCGACAGGTTCTTGATGTCGCAGTTGCCGCCGTTCTCGCGGCCCGGCACGGTGCGCGCAGCCTCGCCCGCGATCCTCTCCCAACCCGCCTCCTTGGGGCCGTGCTTGAAGTGGCCGACCTTGCCCAGCATCGCGCCCGTCGGGTTCGGCCAGGTGGCGAGCGGGCGCGTGTGCATGTGCGCGCACCTACTCACAGCTGCGGCCGTGAGGAGAGCCCACGGTGCGAGCGCGAGAGCGGGCGCGCGCGCGCGCACGTCGTGGTCATCTTCGGCGTATCGACCGTCGACTGGAGCGCGGACTCCCGCGAGTTCCACATGTCGAGCAGCTCTTGCGACGGCGCGGTCCCGATCAGGCCCGGGTGGATGAGGCCCGCGAATCTGACGCCGGGGATGTGGCGCGACTGGGCGTAGACGCCCTCGAAGTCCCAGCAAGCCTTGGTCGCCTCCGGGTAGTGGTCCGTGAGGAAGCCTCCGCCGTTGTCCTTGTGGAAGGTGCCGGTGAAGCCCCACTCGTCGCCCGCCAGCGGGCCCACGTCCAGGATCTCGACCTGCGGCAGTCGAGTGCAATCAGCGCGCGGGGCGTGTGCACCGAGAAAGGGAGGCGTGGTGGCGTGCGACCTTGAGGAGGTCGCCCGGCTGGGCGGTGGGCACGCTGATCGGCCCGCTCAGGTAGTGCACCTGCGGCGATGATTCGCGCTTCAGGCAGCCATGGCTGGGGGGGCGCAGAGAGGGGATCGGCGCCACAAACTCGCGCCTGCGTCAGGTCGACGTGCTTGACGTCGTCGGCGGAGTCGTCATTTTTGATTTGGCCGCCGGTCCAGTCTGTCAAATCGGGGAGAGCAACGGGCAGTCGGGGCGAGGCTCAGGAAACACAGCGCGGTGCACCCCGTCTCTCGTCACCGATTGTTTCGACGCGGAAGACGTCGCCCTCCGCGACCGTGGCGGTTGGCGGGATGTCCGGGTGCCAGCGGTTGTGCACGGGAGGGTCCTGCTCCCACGGGAGCTTCTTCGGGTCCACGGAGAGGAGCGTCTTGGGCATCTCAAAGCGGGTTGAGCGATGGCTTTGTGCGACACACAACTGGGGGGGTACATCGGAGGCCATCGTGCGTGCGTCTTTTTTCTACTTGGTCCACCAAGAATTGGCTAGGGCTGCAGAAGCAGCGTATCTCAGACATTCTCACACGGCCATCGCAGAGCAGATTGTGAATGAGCTTGCCTGCGGCGAGGGCGGTCGAGTGCAATAAGGCCTGTGCCTGTGTGTGTGTGCTGTGTGCTGTGTGTGTGAGGCACTTTCAAGCCGGGCGTGATCTCGACCCACGCGCCGGAGCGCGTGTGGTGCTTGAGCAGCCGGGCGGTAGCCGCAGCTACCTCTCGAACGGTAGCTCGTCGAGCCACACTCGCCGAAGGGGTGCCCTCGTCCTGTCGTCCTCCACCGCAGCCTTGAACTGCTCGCCTAAGCCGGACGCGCGGCAGGCCCGGAAAGCCTCATTCTGGATATCTCCATATGGCCGTGTCCCTGTCCGAGTCGTACTAGCATCATCTTTCTGGGCTCGCGATTCCAGCCGCCCACGTCCCAACGCAAGTCTCGGAGCCCGGCGGCGGCGTAAAGAATTCGCGACCCGGCCACCTGCGGCCGGGCGATTAGCTGGACGCAGGACCGCAGGACGGGGTGGAGGTCCACGCTTCATAAGGTGCAGGTGTACACCTTGTACCGACACAGTGGTAGGCGCGCAGCGCCCACACCTGCTACCTAGGTGTGTGAGTGAGTGCTACCTTAGCGCACCTTATACCGAGGTACCCTCCACATGTCCACACCGGCACCTGGGGTACTCTCGAGACGTTCACACCGGCGGTGCGCGCGAATAACGGCCCGTCGCGCGAAACACAACAACCTCTCATGGCGCGCCCAAGAAGCCCTCCTCCACGCAGAACACGACGCTCCAGACCCTGGGCATGGACGTGATCAAGCAGTACCCGGGCCCGCTGACAGTCTCGAGGGCCGTCAAGGTGGAGACGTCCCGGGCAAGCACTTCCCGCAGCCTGCGGCAGATCGTCAAGGTGCACAACAACTAGGAGTACCTGTGGTTGCGGCCCACCGAGGAGGCGATCATCGCGCGCGCTACATGCTGAAGCACGGCAACGTCTCCGCCCCCTCGGCTGCACCTTCCTCCACCTCGCCGGACCCATCGAGCTCCGACGCTGCCGCTTCGGCTGCGCCATCCTCGGCGCTCGGGCTCGGCCCGCCCGTCGACCTCCGACTCACCCTCCGCCGACCCGCTCCGTGACGTCGACATGTCACTGCTCCAGCGCGCCGGTGTTCTCCAGAACACGCCATATGCTGCATGAGTGAGTAGCGCGTGTCGGGCGGGGCCGTCGGGAGGGGCGAGCGTGTGTCCGGCGAGGCGCCCCCCCCATACCTCACCCGTACCTTTACCGAGGTAGCGCGCGGTGTCCTATACACCTCCACCTTAGGTAAGTGGCCCAATGTCTGTACCTTACTGTACCTCTACCTAAGTGTGCCGGCCAGCGCCCACACCGGCACCGGGGGGTAGGGTCAGAGGGACTGCACCCAAGGTGTTGAGGTGAGCACCTTATGAAGTGTGGGTGGAGGTTTTAGTAGTACAGCGCGGTGCACCCCGTCTCTCGTCACCGATTGTTTCGACGCGGAAGACGTCGCCCTCCGCGACCGTGGCGGTTGGCGGGATGTCCGGGTGCCAGCGGTTGTGCACGGGAGGGTCCTGGCTGCTCCCACGGGAGCTTCTTCGGGTTCACGGAGAGGAGCGTCTTGGGCATCTCAAAGCGGGTTGAGCGATGGCTTTGTGCGACACACAACTGGGGGGGTACATCGGAGGCCATCGTGCGGGCGTCTTTTTTCTACTTGGTCCACCAAGAATTGGCTAGGGCTGCAGAAGCAGCGTATCTCAGACATTCTCACACGGCCATCGCAGAGCAGATTGTGAATGAGCTTGCCTGCGGCGAGGGCGGTCGAGTGCACGGAGCTAGGTGCCTGCCTCGCCGTCCTCGCAGGCAGGAGTCGCCGCGTACGTACGTAGGCGGCTCCCGTGGTGTACCTGTGCTAGTGCCAGTGCGCGCCGCAGTCCCGTGCCTAGTCGCTAGTGTGTGCGAGGGAGTTTTGTTGTAAAATTCTTTTCTTGCACAGGTGTACCTTGTTAGTGCCAGTGCGCGCCGCAGTCCCGTGCCTAGTCGCTAGTGTGTGCGAGGGAGTTTTGTTGTAAAATTCTTTTCCTGCACAGGTGTACCTTGTTAGTGCCAGTGCGCGCCGCAGTCCCGTCCCTAGTGTGTGCGAGGGAGTTTTGTTGTAAAATTCTTTTCTTGCGCAAAGCCTGAGCAATCTTGGCAGGGGAGAGCCCAGCTGCTCCGCCTCCGCTCCGCCAAACGCTCTCACCTCCGCGCCGACCGACACTACAAGATTGCTACTGGGAAGCTGTCCTCTGTGGCGCTGGATCGCCTAGGCTGGATCCCGAGACGCCCGCCATGCGCCCCGCGAGGCGGAGGCGGTGCGCGACATCCTGTGTGTGTGTTGCAATAAGGCCTGTGTGTGCTGTGTGCTGTGTGTGTGAGGCACTTTCAAGCCGGGCGTGATCTCGACCCACGCGCCGGAGCGCGTGTGGTGCTTGAGCAGCCGGGCGGTAGCCGCAGCTACCTCTCGAACGGTAGCTCGTCGAGCCACACTCGCCGAAGGGGTGCCCTCGTCCTGTCGTCCTCCACCGCAGCCTTGAACTGCTCGCCTAAGCCGGACGCGCGGCAGGCCCGGAAAGCCTCATTCTGGATATCTCCATATGGCCGTGTCCCTGTCCGAGTCGTACTAGCATCATCTTTCTGGGCTCGCGATTCCAGCCGCCCACGTCCCAACGCAAGTCTCGGAGCCCGGCGGCGGCGTAAAGAATTCGCGACCCGGCCACCTGCGGCGGGCGATTAGCTGGACGCAGGACGCAGGACGCACTCGCAGGACGCACAGGACGCAGAACGCGTGAACGGGGTGGAGCGGAGTGTCATTTAATCGAAAAAAAGGTTATTGTTGCACTGTTGGTCCTGCAAGAGACAGCGAGCCAGGCCGCCGCGGCAGGGATGTGGGGGTGGCGGTGGGGCTGGGGGCTGGGGGCTGGGGGCGTGGCGCCGTGGGTGGACTGGGGTTATTTCACACACGCTATTCTCTCCTAAAGCGTACCATTAGCATTACTACGTTGTGGTCGAGCACTCTGACATGCACATAGGGCTCCCCCCCAACACACATTCATGCCATGATACATGGACATGGACACATGCGCGCTCATGCTACACACTACCTATACCAGCCCACATGACCGCTCACAGCATGTCGCCCTCCTTGACAGACCGCGCCGACCTAAAGCGCGCCGCGTCTGCCGCGCGGAGGTACGCGCGCGGCGGGTAGAAGAGCACCAGGACGAGGGCGACGGCGAGGAGCCTGCAAGAGGAGTGCACAGGGAGGGCGAAAACATCGGTGAGAGGACAAGGGGATGAGCGGCACAATGTAAGCGCAGCGAGGGGAGAGATTCATGTGCGTCTGCGGGACTCCACACCAGTCTCCACACACACTCACACACGCGGCCATGTCAGGGCCGGCCGTGCGCACCCGCAGAGCCACGTAACTGGCTTTGATGACACGCTCAAAGTGCAGACCACTTCGCGGCTCGCGGGGAGCACCGCCTCCTTTGCCGCCGCGACCGGCCCTACTCGCCATTCATGATTGAGGGGGGATGGCGAGTGCGGTGAGGGTTGACAGCTCAGGCGCAAGGGTAGGGGGGTGAGACGGGTGACGTGCCGCGGGCGAGCCGCACCGGGCACCGCCTCGTCCGCCTCAAAAGTACAAATCATGAGCATGCCGAGCGCCGAGTGCTCCATGAAGTGCTTCGCTGCGGGCGACGCGCGATGCCACGCGTTATCAATACTGTCGGGCGTGCCATCGCGGTCTCCGTCGGGGAGCATCTTGACCACCTCTTCGTCGACCGCCTTGCCGGGGAACCAGCCCGGTCGCGAGAGGTGCTTGCCCGGGTACCACTCCTTCTCGTAGCTGCGCGACTCCTTTTCGGGCGCGATCGGAACAAGAATGTCGTCCGGCCCTTGCTGTCCCCAGCCCTCTGGGTCCGAGGGCAGAGCGGAGGCAGCGGCAAGCAGCACACACACGAGGCCACGCTTGCACATGTGTATGTGTGCACGGGCTGGTTCGAGACGCGAAGTTTGGGGCGTCACACGATTTCCTGACCCCAGAAAAAAATCTTTGATCTTGTGTTTTCTTTCTTTCTTCTTTTCCTTTCCCTGAGGCAATATTGATTCCGCGTATGTGCGCCAACGACGCCTGTTGTGGCTGGTGGCTCTCTGTCTTCCCCGTTTCTTCTTCTTGCCTCACGCGCCTCTTTGCGGCTTCATCCCTCCCTACCTTGCCGCTTTTTCTCTTCTCTTCTTGCCGCTTTGCACGCTCTGCATCCCCAAAACGCACTTCTCGTGGCGGGGGCCCTCACTCCCCGTTTCTTTTCAATGGTAAAAAGAAAGAAAGAAACGAAAAACGCAATTCAAACGAGATAGGGGAGGAGGAGGGTCCCCACCTGCACGAGCAGGATTCTGGAAGGACGATCGGGGGCGCTGCCATGCTATGGGAAAAAGTCTTTGCTTTCTGGCCACGAAGGCAGCCATCCAACAATGCGGTGTAGGCTGCTCCGTTCTTCTTGCCTGCTCCAGCGGCTACACACGAGGCCGCAGCGACCCTTGAGCAGCAAGGTCGTCGGCTCTGCGAGCGAGGCGGTTGCCGACGTGCCGGCCGGCGCCACACTGCTGGTGGGCGGCTTTGGCCTCTCCGGCGTGCCGGAGAACTTGATAACTGCGCTGCGCGACCGCGCTTGCGGTGGACTCACCGTCGTCAGCTCCAACGTGGGCACGAGCGAGCGCGGGCTCGGGCTGCTCTTCCAGACAAGGCAGATCGCAAAGGTGGTCTCGGCGTACGTGGGAGAGAACGACGCGTTCGAGCAGCAGTTCCTGAACGGCGAGATCGAGGTCGAGCTCGTGCCGATGGGCACCCTCGCCGAGCGCATGCGCGCCGCCGGCGCGGGCATTCCCGCCTTCTTCACCAAGACTGGGGCGGGGACGTGGCATCACTTGGGAGGGATGCCGCAGCGGTACGCGCCCGACGGCTGCCGCACCACCCACGGGACTGAACCCACACTGGGTTCGATATTATGGAGGTATGGTTTCGCAGGTACGCGCCGGACGGCTCTCGCGCCGTCGTGCAGGCTTCCGAGCCGAAGCCGTCGCGCGCCTTCGCAGTGCCGGGCGGCGGCGGCGGCGAGACGGCCGAATACGTGATGGAGGAGGCGCTCGGCGGCGACTTCGCGCTTGTCAAGGCGTGGAAGGCGGACACCGAAGGCAACCTCGTCTACCGCAAGACGGCGCGCAACCACAACCCCGCCATCGCCACCGCCGGCCGCGTCACCATCGCCGAGGTCGAGGAGGTCGTCGCCGCGGGCGAGCTGTGGACGGCGTGTCTTCACAGCTGCTGCCCGTGAACAGGTCGAGGAGGTCGTCGCCGCGGGCGAGCTCGACCCGGACGAGGTTCACACCCCGGGCATCTACGTCGACCGCGTCGTGCAGGGGGAGCGAATGGGCGTCATCGAGCGGCTCACCCTCGCCGACGACCCCTCCACCTCCACCTTCTCGCCGCGCACAAAGCCGGCCGACGCGCTGCGCGAGCGCATCGTCAAGCGCGCGGCGCTCGAGCTGCGGGACGGCGACTACGTCAACCTCGGCATCGGGATGCCGACCCTCATCTCGGACTACGTGCCAGGCGCCGCCACTAGCCGTCGAGAAGACGTCCTTGTCTGGAGACGAGTGGCCGGCCTCCTCTCGGAATGCGTGCCGGGCGCTGCCGTTGGCAGTTAGTAGTCGTTGTCTGAGGAGGGGAAGTGGTTGACCGCCCTCGTCTCTGGCGGCGTGGCAGGCGGCGTCTCCGTCACGCTGCAGGCCGAGAATGGGATGCTCGGTGCCGGACCCTTCCCGCTCCTCTCCTCTCCTCTCCTCTCCGCTCCGCTCTCCCCTCTCTCTGCTCCGCTCCTCTCCTCACCTCTCCGCTCCGCTCCCCTCTCCTCTCTCCTCTCTCCACTCTCCTCTCTCCTCTCCCCCTACCCCACCCCAAAAAAAAAAAAAAAATAAA